ACTCCCACATGCCGACCTCATTGCTAAGGTCGGATATATGCGTGGGCGTCAAGGGGGGGGGGGGGGGTGGAAACATTCATCCCCGACAAAACAACAACATCCAACAAAGTAAGGCAACATACGTGGCATTGTGTGGAATAAGAAATGTGGAGCCAATAAGGCCCTGAAAAGATGCTTCCACACACAGTTCTTCCCCACTTGACATAGCCACAATACCATGTCTTTTTGGACATCAATGCCCCCTTCTCCATCCGCACCAAACGGTGACTCCTCTCGTCTCCACGGCTATCCCCACCCACCCCCGCCAACAATGCCAGTAAGCAAAGAAACACACACAAAAAAAAACTCGTGTCACTTTGCCATAAACAGCAGATATTGTAGAAGCGGCCGACATCGCAGATGGTGGCCCTCTTTAAAAACCAACAGCATCTCTTCCGCCGTCGCGCAGCGTTCAACCAATGGGGCACGGTAAACAAAAATACTTGCCGCCAACAAAGGGATCAGCCACAGAGCACAGGGGGCGGAGGAGGATGTTTCCTTCTTTTCTTCCCCCCCCTCCGTTCCATGTTCCACACTCGCCTGAATAGGCACAGAGAGAGGCGTACGGTCGCTAAACATTTCTTCTATGTGGTAAGATAGAATAAGGTCCCAAAAACTCAAGAGCTCTGCCGGCTCAAGCACCCCCACAAATGCTGTGATGATCCATGGGAGAGCCAAGCGCAACGGTGGGAGACGAAGCGTGCGGATGGCGTGGAGACACGCTGAGGCGGCAAAGCGTGCCACTAGCGCCTCAAAAATCCAACAACACTGCGCCAGTTCAGGTGTGGGGCCTTGAAGACGAAACCACAGTTGCCCAAACAGCGAGGAAATAAGATCGTACTGTTCCACGGTATCGCCGGTAATGTAGCACACGGGCGCGACTAGTAGTGAACAGGAACAAACAGGGAAAAATCCAGAGGGCAGTGCTTCGCGTTGTCTTGGCTCAGTCTCCCCCTCAGAATTCCCTAAATATACCAAATAAGAGTCTATCTGTGCGCATGGGCGACCCATCTGCCGCAGGGTGTTTTTCATATGCACTTCTGGCAGACTTCTGTCCATGAAGAGGGAAAGGACCAACTTCTCCGTCTCTTCCATGAAAATAAAATATCTATCGTTATTACCCACAAAATGAGCATTATCCACCTTTATGATGGCCTGAATCAGCTTAGCTGTCTCCTCCTCCTCTTTTGTGGCGTAACTATGATACATACACTGTCTAATCTTGTCACGACTGTGTTTGGTGGCGAAGGTCAGGCATCTTTCCACTCCGTCGCAATGCCGATTTGCTTGCAGTTCCTCACAACCCCCAAAAAGTGAATTCCCATCCGTAACAACAATAGGAAGCTGCAATGCACGCGCATACAACAAACGACGTAAGGAGGGACTTACCCCACCACGTAATGTCTTGGCCACCTCTTCTGGGGTATTGCCATGCTGCAAAAACTCATCAAGCTTCTCTTCAGCATCAGACGCTGAGGGTTCTGTGTGAGAGGTGACCTTTGGGCAGCCATTTGAAGGATGGAGCGCTGAAAAGTAGCGGCGAAGTATGGTGAGACTTGGGGCAAGCTTCTCATGCTGAGCCAGTACTTCTTGCATGGGCGCCCGGAACACCGTCAACAACCCAAAGGAGTCAATACTGTCATGGCAAAGTGACAGATCACCACCAAAGATGCGGGCGATCAGTAACTCCTCTGTGGCCGCGCTATTGAGGCCGGCTACCAAAACATTGTAAAGTTGTGCCACCGACCGTTCCATATCTTCGCTCTCATCGTCGCTATTTGTATCTGACAGTGTCCCGCGAGCTGAGCACCGCACCTCTCGTTTCAATGCAGTTGCGCGTGAGGACAATATCGCTTGCCACTGCTTCCGTGACTCAGCAAGGAGAGAATGCAGCAGCATACAGAACGGCTGCGATAGTTCGCTCGGCTGCCCCGAAGTACCGTCAATGACCTTCCGACTTTGATGTAATAAGTCTCGATCTCGACACTCCAAGAGACTGTAGCGCCTGGCTTCAAAGTCCAAGTTTTGTTTCCTAATCACCACCGAAAGAGAACCTTGTACATCCTCGTGACAAACGGCTGGAATTTGACCATTACCCCCGGTGCTGTAGTCGCTCTCGAAAATGTTTGCTTCGTTCACGATGGGCACTCCGTCAAGCTTTGGGTTCATCACCGTTGGATCCACATCCTGCTGCAGCGAACGCGAGTTGGAGTTGGTTTCCGGCGCAGGCTTCTGAGTGCAAGCACCCGCTTGCTTTTCCGTGCCCGTCGAGTTCACCCAGCGTGGGAGCGCAGCTCTAAGTGTGGCTGAGGGTAGCTCCCGCGGTTTGCCTCGCTGGGACACACGAACCTCCGGCACATGTGTTGCCCTCGCTCCGTACGGCCCTGCCCACGACATGCTGGCAACGCAACCCTGAGGTGAAATTCACGCATGCAAAACAAAAAAAAAGAGGAGGTGCCAGGCGTTGTTGGCGTCAGTGGCGAACATGAGAAAAGTGGAATATAGCAAAAAAGAGAGAAAGACGGATCCACAGAAGCAGCAACAACAACCCTCATAAAAGAAGAAGCAACCACACAAACACGGTGCGAAACTTCGGCACGGCGACGGGCAGCGACTGTGCTTCCCACCCGCAGCCGTCCAACCACTGACAGAGGAGTGCACTTTTCTCACTGTTGTGTGCCACAATGATGATGGTTGTTATTTATTCTCCACCCGCACCTCAGCCCCTGCCTTCAACTCTTGATGCAGGTTATACCAGCGACAGGGGTGGCTTGGCCTCATCTCCACCACAAGACTGTACCGCACCTTCTCACCCCGTTGTGCCCAATCTGACCGCACGCGATGCAACACAGGCGGGAGAGCACTGTTTGACAGGACACCGGCCATATTGCTACGAAGAAGAAGCGTGTCGTCTCCCGCAGCAGGAGGGGTTGGTGCTTGCCATCCGGGGAGCGCATCAATCAGGTCCTCTACTTCCGGTTCATCGTATCGGTAATCGCCATGACGCCCTGGTTGTGACGGTAAATCCCTCTGCAGATTCACCTCTAGCCCCGGTGCAGACGACTGAAGCAGGGCCGTGCAGAGGCCAGGGTCGTAGTGGGGCCGACAGCCAATGCCAGGGCTGTAGCGCCAGATGCGAAAAACAGAACGCTGTCTAATGTCGTCCAAGAACTCCCTGCGAGCAACTTCCGGCATGGACTCATGCAGCAAAATATGCTGCGCAAACTCCATTGCAGCCGCCTCGAGACCGCAGCACACGTGCAGCAGCGGAGGAGGAACATCCCGCCGTGCCTCTCCGGCATTCCGCAGGCGTTGAAGCGTCACAGACAACTCCACCTTGGGCGGCGAAGTAGTCGATGCCTTTTGTCGATGGCTGACGCGAAAGGGTGAAGCCACGCGCCCAAAAAGTTTGGACTCCTCCAGTGCGGCATAGGCGGCTGATACCTCCTGGCGCGAAAAGAGTGCACGGAAGGTGGTCGACGGTGCCATGTCTTTCGGTGGGCGTAAAATTCTCAGTAAATGAAAAGTCGTATGAACGCGGACGCAGCTCCCTCCTTTTGTTTACCTCCACCACATCCCAACCTCGCAGCTGAGGTGTCGGAAATCCCAGCATACGCAGACACGTAGAAATGTCAAACAAAACCAAAAGAATACGTAAGATGGACCAACGAGACGACGAAAAAACTCATAAAAACAAACGCACAGAGAATCCGTCAGAAAGACACCACTTTTCCCCTTTCGTTCTCTTTCTTTTTCCCCAACCACCTACACACACACACTTCCACTGCGATACCGCGCAAGACAACAACAGAAAGTATATATATATATATATATATACACACTTGAAGGAATAAGTTTGTCCAGAGACACGCACACACCGTGAGGGAAAACGTTACTCAAAGACGGAGTGAAACATGTTGTTCTGCCGGCAAATGTACGGCCCATACTCCTCGTATTCTTCCTTCGTCTTCGCCAAAGTGGCAAACTCTGGACTCGATCCCAGCATGCTGCCGCCGTACCACACTGCATACCGCTGTCGCTCGTGTGACACGACGTTCACGTCATACGTGATGTGTCGCGTTGGGTCTCTGAACGCCGCCATGTTTTTCTTCGCTCGTCGGTCAACGATGACGCGCAGGTCCTTCTGCAGCCGTTTATCAAACTTTGGAAACATTGTGTTGCCACCCGACAGCACAATGTTGCGGTAGAGCGGGCGTCGGCAGTCAATGGGGCACGACCACACCGCCTTGTCGACAACCTCCGGCAACGGCGTTGTCCACTCGCTGCTAAAAATCTCCGGGTGAAAAAACATCTCGGGGCCCAAAAACTTTTCGTAGCCAACATCCACGGTGTACGGCTGCCCTGTCTTGCTATTCACATCGCGGTGCTTCGTGACGTACTTGGGAAGATCCCGGTCGTACGTGTCAAACTCCCTGGCGATGTCACGGGCTATGTAGCAGTACTGCTCCTTGATGCGCTGCGCAAGCAGCAGGGCATCATCGGGTGGCACGGGCTCGCCCCGCTCACGTAGTCGCTCGAGGACAAAGTTTGTGATATCACGACCTGCTAGCGGAATGTGATGGATTGCCTGGTTGAGCACAAAGCCATCCACGATAGGCATGATGTGTGTGACGCCGGCACCGGAATCAATCACAAGGCCAGTGTCTTTTCCAGAGACGCCAAGCTCTTGCGCCTTCCCCGATGTCCATGACGCCCGTAACGCGAGGGCGCCTTGCACGGCGATGTGCAACTGCTTCACACCGAAGGTTTCAAACATCACCTCTGCCGCGTACTCCCGGTTCTCCGGCGGGTTTGCCGGTGGCTCAGTGAGGATGAAGCCGTGCTCCTCCGGTTCCACGTGCAAGTACTTGTAGATGCAGTGTTGCCAGATGCGCTCCATCTTATCCCAGTCTTCTACAATGCCGTGTTTAATGGGGTACGATACGGTGCAGGAGCCCGCACGCGCGGCAGCTTCTTCACCGATGTAAAAGTCAAGGTCCTCAAAGACGTCGTTGGAGCGACGCCGCGCCGTGGCATTGTCGGCGTAGAGGGAGGGAATAATGTAGGTGGGCTCCTCGTTCCCGGCGTAGCCCATCTTGGTGTACCCCGTCCCATTGTCGATCACAACCACAGGGTACGACATGAGCCCAGGGCGTCGTCTCTGTCGGGGGTGTGCGTGTGGACGGACGCTGTTGCGACGGCCACTTTGTTTCCACTGGGGGGTGGACGACAACACACACACAAAGAAAAAAAAAAAAAGAGGATCAGTCGTCAAAAGAAGAAGATATAAAACAAGTCGTCCACATAAAAGATAGAAATACGCTTACAAAATGTCTAAATGGAGCACACACGCACACACTACACCCTGCGACTTAGACACACGTCTATTCCCCTTCGTGTTCCCAGGCGTAGTCCATGATCTTCACACTGGAATTGGTGAGGTACTGAATACGACAGATAACCTCAAATGCGCCACGCTGCATCTGATGCGCAAGGTCCTCTACCACCTCGATTTTATCACCACCGGCAAGTATCCGATACAGGTGCACTAAGATCAGTTGGTCCTCCTCCGCGGCGAAGGGTCGATCCGTGCGAAAGGGACGGCCGGCCTTGTGATAATCTGTGTTGCCGCAAAAGGCACAACGACCGTCAACACATCTTGTACTGCCAATGCCTACGCAGGTGCCTCCCACGCTCGCTACACCGTCAATCAGGGCAATATTGTCGTGGCCGCGCCATGGGAATGCATCAACTCGGAGAGAATCAAAAGAAATCTGATCACCATCAGATCGATGCAAGACACGTCGCTCGTAGTCAGCTTCTGTGTCTCGCAAACCCACCGGCATTGGCGTCCGCGCTGGGTCAAGTGGCCAGTTCTCTTCCTGCACACTATGCAAAACGATGTCGGCGTAGGCTCGCTGCGAGCGGTCAAACAATGTAAAAGTAGCATCGCACGTGTACGCCAGTGCCCAGAGAGACACACGCGGAGAAAGTGGGGCAAGCTCGACACTGCGAGCCACGAGGCCTTGATCGTGGGCGATCATCACGATACGAAAATCAAGCGCTGGATTACGTGCCACCAGGGCCGCCTCCACCTCCGGGATAAGGCGTATTTCTTCCATAGGATCGCGCGCAGAGATGGTGCGAAAGAAGGTCACTGGTGTCGCAGGTGTATCAATCAATGCGTCCCATCGTTGCATCTTGCGGCTAAACTGCGCCTGAATCGCCGGGTCGTTGAGATCAAAGTGGGCAAAGGCGGTGTGCTGACCGCGGTAGAGCACCCAGATGCCGACACACTCCGGGCGGTAGGGTGGTGGGCCAGGCGGGTAGAAGCCGTGCGCAAAGCCATCACGGATGAAGTGCAGGACACCATCCAGAGTACAGCGACTGAAGTCAAACGGGTACGCCTCGGTGCGTAAACCCAGCTTGCCCAAAATAAGCGCGGGGCCGCACCATCCACCCATAGAGACGTACTTCCGCGGCATACACACCCCGGTGAAGCTGACATCCCGCAGAATGGCTGAGAAATGCAGCATTCCCCCTCCCCCCACCGCCTCCGCAACAGGCAAAAATGGGTGGAGCCTGTGCACACGCCACGAGAGTGTGCCCTCTCCCTCTTCTCGGCGTCAGCCCCAAACTCCGCCCGCCTAGCTGTGCGTGCCCCCAATAACAAAAAAAGAGGCCATCGGAATATACGTTCCACATAAAAAAAAAAAAAAGCCGCATACAAAATCGGGAAAGACCACAAGTAGCAAAAATAAGTACAAAGAAAAAGGAAACCGCGTTGCAAGTCGGTCCATGTGTGCGTGTATGTGTGTATGCTCCGGTACGTGGAGGAAACATATGGTAGGTGAGTAATGCATAGACGTGAGAAAAGAAAAGAAAAACGTTCAGGGGGGAAAAGAAGAAGAAAAAAGAGATGGTGCCACATGTTTTCCCTTGTGCAACGTTGATTTCTTTGCTTTACGTGCGTATATGAGAGATAGTCAACGGTACAACATTTGGAGGAGCATACTTAAATCCTGGGGCAATACGGTACACACACACAAAGAGAGAGTGAGAGACATAGCGTATATTTATAAATATTTGTATATAAATATTTAGATCCCTTTGCCTACCAGCTACCACATTGCACGCAAGCCATGTGTATATAAAGCAACACGCTCATACACATAGACGCAGCACTCCCTCGCCCCTCACCCCCTCTTCCTCCCTCACAGTCTTCTCACTCTCTCACGCACACACGGATATATATATATATATATATATATCGATATGCGTCTGTTTCCATGCATCTATCTCCGTGCGCCTTTCCTCCTCCATTCTTTTCTTTTCATCATTTAAATGTTTATTGTAAACAAAAACAAAAAAGCGAAAGGAAACACACAACCACAAGAAATGATTGCAAGAGAGAGATGAACCCTCACTTACCCCTTCTGCGTTTGCATCTCTCTCTTCTTTTTTCCGCTTTTTTTTCTTTTGCTTTTGTGTGTTTGTGTGTAATTTAGACGGTGATGCAAAAGAAAAAAAAACGGTTAAACGCAAAGCAACAACAACAAGATCGACAGAAGCGCTAGACGCATGTGAGGAGGCCCAAGATCTACCCAAGCAGCCACCAGCCGTACTCCAAGAAGGAACGGAAGAAAATTACACTTCCAGACGTTCTCCTTCCCTCCCTCTCAGAGTGCTCCTCCTCCACACACGCACGTACACACCGCTGTGCATCGTCCGCCTCACTCCGGTACCGCGTTGTATCCGTCCACGCACGCGCGCACACTTACGTGTCTGTTGTGTCTTTGTTTCTTTCCTTGTTTTTTTTTTTTTTTCGGACTCCACAACCTCTTCCTTCGCACTTGTTTGCTTCAGTTCATTGCACTCTCTTTAGTTCCTTTACCGCGTCGTCAGCTGTAGCAGCCGTAGCCGCCACCACCGCAACTCTCGTGTTACCTTCGCTGTTGGAAGCCGCCGTCGTTTAAGCGTGCACGCTTGTACGGCGCACCGCCCACACCGTCGTTATTATTGTTGTTATAGTTATCCCAGCCACCCGGCTGCGGACGCTTCTGCTGCAGTCTTGAACCCCCGCCGCGCGCGTTACCGGACTGCCCGTACGTCACCCCTTCCTCAAACTGACGCAGTCGCTCCTCCACCTTGCTGCGGTACTCCAGTGCCGGTGCGTTGTCGCCCTCACCGAAGGAGTCGATACGAGCACTAAGGGAAGTCTTCGCTGCCAGCACGCGGGACATCGTCCCCTTGTTCGGGGCGGCAGCCTTCGCCACAACCTGAGCGTTGTACAAGATGCCGTACTTGGGTGTGGCTTGCCGCTGCTTTAGGGCGCGGAAAAGGGCCTTCTCGGCGCCAAGAATCTGAACCGTGGAGGAAGGGTACTTTGCAAGCGACAGGAGAGAGCCGGCCTTTTGAATCAGCCTGGCGCCAATCTGCTCGCCCACCATCGTGGTGAGATTCGGGGCGATGGTTTGCATGCGGGAGCTAAGATACGCGGAGAGCGTCTCGCGGTACTTCGTGGCCGCTACCACCTCGCTACAGAGACGACAAATGTTTTCAATGTCTTCCTCAGCAATCTCTGTGCCCATGGACACCATCGCCGCGTCCTTCACCTTCTGCTCCACCTCCTCGTCCAGGAAGTCGGAAAAGTCCGTGTCGCGCACGTTAAAGCGCGTCTTGGCGGCCAGCACAATCTTTGCGTACAACAGATTGTCGTTGACGATCTTTGCCAGCTCGGGGAAGTGCCACCCATACCACTCCCGAGCCCGCATGGCGTACTTGTTGATCTCCTTGTCGAGGTCTTCGAGAAGCGCCACCGCCTGCACCACCATCATGTCCACCTTGTCTGGAGAAAACTTCAGCTTGTAGCGGTTCAGGTTGTGCGCCAAGCCAAGCGCCGTCTGGTTGAGCTGCTCCGTCGACACCTCCTGCAGAAGCGCCTCGAGGTTCGCACGCAGCGCACGGAAGGTGGCGAGGGTGTCATCACCATGAACGCAGGGAATGGCCAGCGTCTCCTTGATGGCCTTCGCCAGCTTGGAGTCCGCGACCACAAGCTCCTCCGTGATCTCCTTCTCCACAAAATTTTTCTTGAGAAACTTGCGCACCGGCTTGGAGAGCTCCCCGTTCACCACCTGCGTCGTCGTTGTAAGCGCGTCGGCGGTGCTCTTGAACTGCAGCATCGCCTTAAGCCGACGCTTTTCGCCGTCCACCTTAAAAAGAGCGACTCCGGCAGGGAGCTCCAACAGGGCGTAGACCATCTTTCGTGTGGGTGTGCGTGTGTGATGTTTTCCTCGTGTTGTGTGAAGGTAACTTTGGGTGTGATTCCACCTCCTTTTTTCACTTCTCTCGTCGAGTCCCGTGTGTTTCCTCGCCGTTCCGAGGTGGAGAGGAGAACAGTGAAAGAAGAAATAAAAAGAGAGAAAAACAGCAGCAAAAGCAGCAAGCTGATTCCCATGCACGTGTGTGTGTGTGTGTGTGTGTTGGCAGTCGGGGCGCGGTATGGATGCACGAGGCAGAGGGTCAATGAATCAAATTCGATGGAAGCAGCAGCAGCAGCAGCAGCAGTCACAAAATGGCCACAAATATATGCACACACATAAACATGTATACACGAATGTAAAGAGAAGATGACGCATGCACACACGCACGCAATATATTTATGCACAGAGGCAGTGAGTAGAAAGGTGGAAGAAAGGGAAAGAAAGGGGGCTGAATGCACAATCGATAACAAAAAAATAAAAATAAAAATAACACGTACGCACACGTGCACACATCAAAAAATGAGGAAAACCAAAAACGGATGAAAACGTACAGCTCGGCGTTCAAATAACGTGGCCCGCAAGCTCCGTTGTTGATGCATGCTTCGCAACACACCGGCACACACGAACAAATAATATTCAAGTCAAAAAAAAAAAAACTCTTCATGTCTCTCATGCGGCCCTCCTGATGGCGTATTCGGCGATGTCACGACACATGTCGCGCAAGTCACCCTCAAGGACGTCCGCGACAACCTCCTGCACGCCAAGGATAAACGGGCGGAGATCGTCCGGCACGCGGCTCTCAAGCGGGGCGATCATCGTCGCCTTCAGTCGCTTCAGCGACGGCTTCACATGTTCGTCGCGGAAAAAGTTCACCGCCGTTTCATAAAGCAGTGCAATAAGAGAGTCCCGCGCCATCGTGTGGGCGTCGTCCTCCAAAAAGCCGCCAACCTCGCGCAGCACGGCATCCCACGGCCGCCGAATTTTATCGCGCTCAAAGAGTGTCTCAAACGTAAAAATACCGTTGGCGATGATGCGGCGCAATGGCATGACCGCAGCGTCTTGGATCACACGCCACTCATAGACAAGGCCGTTGAACACCCCCTTCATGGAGGCAATTGGCTCGTGCAGCTGCCAGAGCCTCCGCTCCGCCTCGTAGCACTCCCCAATGCAGTTATACTGCGAAGCGAGGAACATGCGGTCACCCCTCGGCTCATAGTGAACCTTGCCCTGCGACACGCACGCCTCGTATATCCTCGGCAAGGTGGCATACACAGCGCAGAGCGGTGATACCACTTTGGTTGCAAGCTTCCTCAACGGCTCCTCCACCTGCGCCTCCAAAAACAATTTGGTCTCACCGCTCATGTAGTTGTGCACCTCCTCTCGAAGGGGCTCCTCAAAGGCGTTTAACTTCTCCATGTTGTCTCGCACCCGCGCCTCCACCATTACTCTATGGACGCACGTTTTTCCCTGCATTGCGTGCCATTTTCCCCATACAAATTTCCGCAATAATTCATCGGAGGCCTCAATAAACAAATTTAGCTGCGACATGCGATTCTTCCAGGAGCTGCCAGACATTGTCAGCAAAAGCTTTGGAACAACTTGAGTATCGACCAGTTCATTAATGGCATCCTGCAGGATTACCGCCTCAAGCCCACTGAACTCAAGCGAGTCTGGGAGCCCGCACATTACGCGGGCGCGGCGAAGTGCCTCAATAAATGCCCGTTGATGGTGCCTGTCCTTCGTTGTCACGCGCTCCGTCAGCCAATGGATCTGTTGAAAAAAGCCACACCACACATCGTAGCGATCCCGCACTGGAAACTGAAGGTAAATAGTGGCACGCCGTGGGTGGTACAACTCCACGGTGAGTTCCGGGTACGTTTCGGGCGGTGGCACTTCGCTGCGGGCAACAGAAAAAGCAGCGGCTAATCGATCCAGCCGCTCTTCTGTAGCCTGCGTGGCATTGCAGCTCACCACAACGCTACCAAGGTTAATGGTTCCTAACGAATGCCTTCCTTCCAGGTAATCATTGCGGGATTCGTAGTAGTCCAGAAGAAAGTCACCACGAAGGACAAAGAAGCGGGGCTTCCAATGCTTCCAGTGCTTACTCAGCTTCGCCGCCATGAATTGATCACGGTCGTTGACCTGTGTAGGGATTTCCGGGGCGCGATACAGCCTCCACGCCACCGTATTCCCGTTGCTAGTCTCGGACTCGTGCTGCATCGCCTTCCGCACACGTTGTACCATGAACCACATGTAGAGCTTCTCATATTCGCGGCCAAAGGTGTCAAGGAAGACGCTAGCAAGTTCCCGTGTGTCGCTCAGCTCCGCACTGAAGGAGGACCCCATTGCAACCAACCGCCCCACAATGGAAACCCGCCGTTTCAATTAACTTTGTGCGTCCCTGGCTCTTTTGTTGCTTCTCTCGTCGTTGCTGGTGGTATCTCCGATACGTCGCTACCCTGCCTTCTGCCATGAGAGGAGCGCCGACCCGCCAGAGGTATGCCACCCGACAGCGGCGCAAGCAACCAACATGGGGAGAAAAAGGAATAAGATAAAATGGGGAAAACAACAAGAGAAAACAAAACATCGCAAAAATATAGGGAGATAACCAAAGGACAAGTGTGCCCGCGTAGGCTCCGCGATACACGTTGCGACGAGCGCGCGAGATCTGGCAGACAAACAACGCCGCGCCCACCTCAACCGCACAAGTAAAAAAAAAAAAGACGCCCTTCCCGCTAAGGCCCAAAATGACCAACGGAAACGGCGTGCAAACACACACACATGAAAGAGTCAAGGCCCTCCCTCGTAAATAGCGAAAAAAAAAAAACCGCCACAATAACTCTTTACGTCCCCGAGGAAGAAGGAGGAAAGAAAGAAGGGGGTGGGGGTGGGGGCAAAACAAAGCAAAAAAGCTCCTCTTTTAACTTCCCGATTACTTCTCTTCTCCTCCTATAACGAGATTAACGACCCATGCGCGGGCGTCTCTTGAGCAACTGGTGTTTGAGTTTTCCAAGTGACATCAGCCGTCGAACACCCATGCCAAAGCCAGCAATGACAACATGAAATGTGGCTGTTAATGCAATAAGAAAAGCTATGATGTAAAGGCGGTACGCCACGGCAGTGAAGGGAAACACACGCATCAGTTTAGGTGGCGGGTACAACATGTAGTTCAAGTTGAGGCCAGTTATAAGGGAGTACGGTGTGTAGAACCCGATGTTGACCAGCGTCGCAACCGCCGTCACGTGAAGTAAGTGTGAAGTGGTCATGGGCAACAGTTCATAGCGCGCGGCATAGTAAAAGGGCATGAGAAGCAGCAGCCCGTGATGGAGCATAAAAACATGGCCCTCAAGTTTGTATTGATGATCCCCCCAATCGGGGGACGCTATTGCCGCTGCGGGTCCCCAATGATAATCCGCGGCGAGGGTCGCCAGGTAGGTATTCATGGGGTAGTGTCTCGGCCCAGAACGCAAGAGCACGACGGCCCAAAGCAACGTGATCAGGTGACAAGGCATGAACATCCACCCAAGCTGGATAAAAGGCCGTGGACGAACGGCCTTTAACACCACCTGAAACACCCAACACAAGAGAAAAAAAAAGCCAAGCAGCGCATTTAGCCGGCTCTCGCGACACATGTCAGGAGGCACTCCCCGCAGGTACTTCCACGCACGTGAACGGTACCCCCACGAGGCGCGGAAGCACCACCAGACAAACAAGTTCACGAGGACAAACTCAAAGATATGTACCTTCGGTGGCTGAAACCAAAAAAGATCCTCCACGACGTTCGGCCCCCACGCCTGCCCCGTAAGGCGAGACAGCGCCACGAGCGCGTCAGCCATCACCTGCGGCACAAGAGCATCCGCCAGAGACACGAGCGTGAGGGAGGCCATCAGCGGAGCAATTCTCCCAATGAGGAAGGACACTCCACGAGGCGACGGCGCGACAAGCGTAAATAAAACCTCCGCCACACCACCAAGAAGAAAAAAAAGGGGGAAAACGCAATAAGACTGGTAGTAGTTGTCCAATGAGGAAGGCGTGCTGCAGAAGAATAAAAGAGAAAACTGTCGACAACGAAGCTGAAGAAGGGAGGGGGGGAGGGCAAACAATCAACAAATAAACGGAGGACAACAGAAGAAGGGATAAATACGAGAAACGGTTCGTCACGTACGCCGCACCACACAAGGCAAATAACAAACATGACAAAACAGCGTGGGGCGACAAACTCTGCATGACTACGCTTTGCACGTGTTTTTATTTATTTATTTATTTGCTGCTTCCCGGAGGAGTTCGGTTAATGTCATTTCCTCAGTGCCTCTTGCGGCTCTTGGCGCCGTCGCTGCTCGCCCCCTCCTCCTCCTCCTCCTCCTCCAGCGCGGCCAACTCCGCCTCAAGCCGGGCAATTTCATCATCCATGGGCACCTCCTCCTCCCCCAGTCCCGCCGTCATTTCACCCTCATCCACGCCCAACGGAGCGGCAGCACCCTCCGTCGCCACCTTGACTGCTACGCCCGCCGACAACGAATCGGTGTCTCCTGCTCCGCCGGCAGAATCACCTGCCGATGATGGCTGCAACGAACGATGCGCATTTAGCTCCACATTTTCCTCCAGTGGGTAGTACATATTATCCAACAGTGAGAGTCTGTACCAGCTCTGCTCCCCGCGCAAATACCGGAGATGATCTTCTTCAATGTACCAAAACCCCAACGCCTCGGCATGTTCTGCGGCATACAAAGCGCAGTCTTTGCGATCAACGCGTAGGCACGCCTCTAAGAAGAAAAGAAAGGTGTCCTTTGCGAAGCGAATGTTGTTGATATTGCGACACTGATTCAACAGCTGAAATGCATAACTGAGATCGAGAGGACGTTCCACAAGGTCAAACGCGGTGTGGAGGTCATCTGCCGTTGGGCGCTCGGTTCCCTGAAATGAGTGAAATCGTCTATGCCATTCCAACACGTACTTCTCGAGTGGTGTCTCCGGCCCATCCAGCCTGTCTTTGCGTAAAATGTGACGTTTCTTGCTGAGCCAAAGCGGCTGATTCGCCATACATTTCGGCCGGGTGTATGGCCTGTCAAGTCCGCCCAGCCACGCCTGGTACAACATCTCCGTGCGTTGGTGGTCCGGCTGCTGAATGACGGTGTAAATCTTCCAGTTGTCAACATTCTTCAGAAACAGCATCCAGTACGGGCGACGATACCGCAGGGAAGCCAACGACGGCAGACAACAGCGCAGCATTCCTCCCTGCTACCACACCCACACACCCACTCACTCACTCACCCAACACAGCCACAGGCCCTAACACCCCCTTTTTTCCCGTTCCGTTGCTCGAGCCCCACTGCCTCCTTTTCGTGCCTGCTACAACGGAGCTGGTTGACGTCCGAGCCATTACAAATGGAAACAGAAGAGTGATAGACACACCCCGGGTAGTAGAAGAAGGAAAAAAAAAAAAAAGGAAGAAGCCAAGCAACACAGTACACTGTCCACGCAACCTACGCAGGGGCGACAGCTCTGACGTGTCGCCAGGAGTTCAAGGACTTGCAGTACTCTTCTTTTATATATTTTTTCCTCTATCCTGGTCTCTATTTTTATGTATTTTTTTTTTTCAGCTTGCACACATCCTGCGCCCCTGGTGTCACTCTCACTCTCCACATACAAGCAAATCTTTACTCTCTTGTAGTAGCAGCAGTATTGTTTTTTTTCATTTTCTGGAGAAGCATTTCACCAGAATGAGGGAAAAACGACGGAAACACAATCAGCAAAAAACAGAGAGAGATAAGAAGGAGGAAGAAAAAAGATATAAACCAAAAGTGATGCTCACCTGAACGGATATGTACCAACATACGCGCACACAACCACGCAGCGTAAGAGGCATGCTGAGTCGTGATGCTCCTAGAATGTTGTCTCAATCTCCGATAAACGTTGTTGCAGCGTCTGAGACGCAATCCGAATAGTTTCCTCATATTCCATGTAGGCACGTAATAGTTGATCTTCTCGCTCACGCACTTGTGCATTTGCACCAGTAGTACTTGTTTCCCTAACAAGCCCTTCCTTCGCACTCTCCGCAGTACAACAAGCAGAGCTAGCCCCCCCGGCTGCGGCAACTAGAGGCTCACACGTGGTGGCCTCTGCGTGAGATTCCGAACGCGGGATATCAATGCCTCTGGAATTGGCGGGCCCATGCAACCGTCCCCCAAACTGATTTAAGCGTTCCTCCTCACTCACCGTGGTTGAAGTCATTTTAGCACGGTACAGCCTGTAAGCTCGTAGTATTTCCTCCTCCTCAGGTGGTTGATATGCCTCGCGGGCAAAGTTGTGAGGTGCATCATCCACAACATCCCTTCCTTGTCGGAGATTAGTAGTAGTAGTAGTAGGAGGAGGAGGTGCTGGCGGCGGAACGGCATCGTTGATGGGAAGATCGTTGTTGTTAGCAGCCGGTCTACGGTGATCGGGAGCGTGGGCAAATCGCACAGGTGTGTTCGACCGCCGCATGTGCTGCATAAGATCCGCCCTACAGTACGGGCACGTCGACATCCCCTCAAACCACCGCCGTAGGCAGTGCTCGTGGTAGCAGTGACCGCAGGGAAGTTGCTTGCAATTCTGTTCAGACCTCATATCGTCCTGGCAAATGGCGCAGCAGGAGTCGCGCGCCAAAACCTCGTCTGTCGCGTTTTTAATGCTGTGCACAAATCTCGTAAGCGAGAGGTACGTCAGCAGACTCTGCAGCCTCTTGACGACGTCGACAGCGCTCCCAATCAGCACCCGCAGCAGCGGGAATGGCGGCTGCGACACAAAGCACACATACGTAAAGGAGACAATGAAGACGGCACTTTTAATGAGGGAGAAAAACAGCTCGGCGTAGAAGGCAAGCGCGCTATGATCAGCCTCCCCAATCACCTCCTGAAAAAAGAGACGCACAAGAAGGCTAAGGTTGGATATAGCAAACTGCAGATACATGATGGCCACCGAGTACTTGAGCGTTAAATCCATATCCGACTCTCTTGCAGTGTTCACAAAAACATCAAATACAACGCATAGATCCAACGGCATGGCCAAAAAAAGGAAAAACGTCAATCCACTCAGCATAAGCAGTCGTTCGCGTGGCGATTCCACTATGTGGAGTGTCGTGGCCCGTTCTCGTGCGACGCCGTGCAACAGGGCTACGACCACCGTAAACAACGCGGCCACGCCGCAAGTGCCCAGCAGCGACACCCCAAAGTAGAGAGGTCCAACAACACACTCGGCAATATGCAACGGTATGGAGCCACGCAACAACTCGTTTTCAGTGTGGTTCAACCGACCAAAAAATGCGCGGCACGTGACAAACCAAAACAGAAAGGTACTCGCGATGAAGGCATTGACCCCCAGCAGGCGGAAGAGCGAGGAGTTCGTCAATTCTACCACGATCGTGAAGTATTCACGGTAGACGTGAGCATAGTCCAGAACGAACAGCACAGGCACCAGAAAACTTAGAGAAATGTATGTGTTGAACGAGAGCATGTTTCCCCCTTTTTTTATCCCCTCTTCCTTCCGTATTTACCCACGAAGAGTCAACGCCGGGAAAAAAAAAAACATCAACGCACCAGGGGAGAAGAGAGGCCACCATTATCCCCTTCCTTCATAATACGTGGACTTCTTCGTCTTCGTTTCTTTTTTTATTTTTATTTTTTGTTGCTGTTTCGGCAGGCTACTTCCTGGCATCCTCAAAAAAGCGGCGGCGGCGGAGCCTCATCAGTCCAGCAAAAGCGACACGTCACAGTCGCGGAAGCGGAAGACGGAGACCATTCACCTACGCACCAAACAAACAGACACACACATCCACGCACACTTTAACCGCCCTCGCCCCGTCAAGATATATTACTTCTTGCGTTTAAATAGAAGACGTCTGCACAAAGCGCCTTAAACGCAGCAACGCCATCCGCGCCATCTGCTCTCTCTCCTCTATTTCACTGATCCGCTGCGCCTCCGCCAAAACAACCGGTGGAAGCCCTGCCATGCGTGCCACCCGCACACCAAAGCTGGACGGTGTCACACCCGGTGTTGGCTTGTATGTAAAGACCAGTTTGGGGATTCCATCACCCGTCTCACTTCGCCCCTCACGAAACCCCATATAATAGCACGACACACGTCCTCCCTCGGTGGTAGGATGACGGTACGGCTCACACAGATGTGTGTAGTGGGTCACGAACATTGTCGTCGTGCCTCGTTGAAGCAGGTACTCAAGTGTCGCCGCAGCAACGGCGATACCGTCAAAGCTGCTTGTGCCTCTTCCCAGCTCATCCAACAACACAAGCGCGGATGACACGTGCGGCGAGCGCAGAATGCGGCTAGTTTCCTCCATTTCCTTCAAAAAAGTGGAGGCTCCTTCCAGCAGCGAGTCAGTTGCCCCCATGCGGCAGTACACTGCGGTGAACAGAGGCAACTGGGCTGCATTCGCCGGAACGTAGCAACCAAGCTGCGCCATGATAACAAACACGCCAACCATGCGCATAAGAGCAGACTTGCCACCCATATTGGGTCCAGTCAGGATCCATGTCCCACCCTTCGCCAGGCAAACATCACAGCTCACATAACTACCCTGCAAAATGTTGTCCAGTACTGGATGACGACCGCCAACAATCTTCAGACACGCTGCATCGTCTGAGAGCTGAGGCTCAGTATAGCCAGGGGAGGACGATGTCACCGACAGGCACCGAATTGCATCCAAAACAGCCACGGCATCGATAACGGTCTGAAAAACCTTCATGGCTGAAGAAGTGTTCGCCAATTCCTCCTGCTTTTGCTGCCATGCATCTCTTGCCGCAACAGAAAGACGTTCTCTGGAAGAAGAAAGGGCAACATTAAGATCAACAATGTTTGATGTGTGAAACCGCACATGACTTTTGGTCCGGGTCAGCACCAGCCAGTCCTTTGGGACACGACTGCATTTTGCCTGTGGCACATCCACAATAAATGGCGTCCCTGCAATGGTGCGGTACTCTAACTCCGGCATATGCAGTGTCTGGCGAATAGACTCCAGCTCTTCATCAAGAGCGCGTAGTGCCTCATCACGAGCCATCAAGTGAGTCTGCATGGAAGTAGGGGTAGAAACGCCAGGGGATGTGAAGTATTCAAACGGGGAGGTCGCGTGGGACTCCATTTCAGACTTACAAGACTGGAGAAAAGTGGTCGTCTCCACAGAGGTGACACTCTTCAAGGCTTCGCAAATAAAAGCATCTATCTGCCCATCACTGCGAAACAGTGCGGCACGCGCCAGAGTGTGAGCTGTTTCCACAGCATGCAGAAGATGGACGTACTCAGCAATTGTGCAACGCTGCGCCCGCAACTTCCCTAAGGTTGCCTCAATGTCTCCAAACTTGGCACACTCGCGAAGCAAATTCGCCACAGCGCTGGCATCTTCTCCACGCAGCAAAAATGACACGGCGTTTCGACGTAACAGGATGGTGTTTATATCACACGGCGGTGCTGACAACCACAGTCGCAGGCGTCGTACACCAGGTAGAGTGAGGCTGTGGTCAAGCAACGCCATCAATGAGCCCTTGGCGCCGATGCTGCTGTGAAAAATGTCCAGCGCACCTAATGTGCTGCCAGGCAATTCCATTGCCTGCGTTGCACTGTCGATAGCACCTTTAAATGACAACGTCTGACCACCCTCTGCGCACAGCTGTTCATATACTCTATTCAGCCGGTAGGGTGCGAGGTACCCTGCAATCGCCCCGTCCACGGAGCCCACGCACTCAAACGCGGCGAGGCAAATCGACCGCCCGTCCTCCTCCCCGTTGATGGTGGGGCCAAAATGTAGCGGAAGAACCTCGTTTAGACAAGCGGCGTACACCTCCGGTAAGTACTGCAAAGGCGACGAGGGCGATGCCATGTCCTTCGCGCCCGTCGCTTGGTGAGGCTCGAAAAGGAGCACCACCTCCACAATCTCGTAGCGGTGCAGGACATCCAACAGCTCCACTTCGGATGCAATGTGGTGACGCCGCACGGTATACGTGACGAAGCTGACGAGTGTTATATCCAACGCAGAAATTCCCGGTGCTTGTGGCGACAATGTTGACGCAGAGGACTTTATAAAACACATGAACAACTCTGAAGACTCTTCCTTTATGGAAACATCCATACCGTCTGGCTCTGGCCCGTCATCCTCCACCCCACCTTCCGCCACATCAGCCGATTGAGCAGTATGAGACGCCGTCGTGGTGGTGGTGGCCGCAGACCCCGGGGTGGCGGCACCAATGACCTCAGACGGCAGCAGCGTTCCCCGGCTACACACTCGTGCAATCTCTCGGGTGAAAATACCCTTTGCAGTCCCACTGGTTGTGCGAATGGAGGCGCTCTCTTGATCAGCAAACGCCACACGATAACCCATAGCCACAAGGCGATGAACGTACAGGTTTACCCGCACGTAGGGTATACTACTTGACTCGAAAGGAGTCGTGCCAATGCACATGATACCCAAACGGCGGCTTGCCACGCGGCTATCGCGACCGTAAAACTTTACACGATAACCACACGCCACCATCAGCACGACGTCGGGCGGCAAGGACTCCTTGAGACGAACCACCTGCTGCTCAAGGGGCGTCAAGGCAGCCTCTTTCACCTCCGTGTCTTTCACGGAACGTTGGCATATTAGCTCAACGGCGTGTCGAACAGCATCCCCCTTCGCCTCGGTGTCGCGCTGTCGCTTGCTCATCAAAAAAAAAAAAAACACTCCAGCCTTTCCTGGTGTTTCTAAGCCCCCTAAGACACAATACAGGAATGAAACCCCGCGGTGAGACCAGCGAAAGACCAAGGAGGCACGAAAGGACTGAAACACTAACATACATATGAAAGGATAAAGAGATGGGCATAACACATAGATAAAAACCTGCAGAGACGCCACCTCGTCCACCCACTCACCTCAAATGACATATAAGAGAGTAGAACAAAGCTCTGAGAGAAAGAACAAGGGCTTTAAACCACACTCTCAGAAGCCGCAAAAATCCTGCACAAAGAAAATGTATCAGGGGAGGGGGGTTTGAAAGGAAAGAAAGACAAAACAAAAAAAAGAAGGAATTATCCTATTAATTAAGAGACTTTATACATGTACTTCATAGATAGACACATTGTTCCCCCTCCCCTGTTTTTGCACGTATACCGTGCCTCTCCCGATCGGCTAGAAAAAAAAAAAAAAATGGCAACAACGCAAAAAAACAGCAGAATAGGCATATGATGATTGAGCGTGTATGATCAACACAACTTCGGTGGCTACTGTTTTTGTAGGCCAAAGGAAATTATGAAAGAAGGAAAAAAACCGCAAAATCTATGTGTATACACATAAACATACAACATGGCTAGTCGCGTAAGAGTGGTGCATGTGCCAAGCGCGCAAGCATGTAGGCCTTTTCAATTTTGTCCGTCTGCAAATGGTGTTGAATGTTGTTTCGACAATCGTCTTCGAGGAGTCTGCAAAGCTCCTCGTTCAAGTACCGATTCGCGTTGAGTCCGTGGTGACTGTAGGGCTTGTCAAACATGGGGTTGTATTGGTTGACGAAGCGCGCCTGCAGCGCTCCTGTCACTCTGCACGCGCCCGCTGGCAAGGCTTCCGGCAATTGTCCATTGTTGTCACTATTATTATTGGTGTAATCCTGCCCGGGGGAAGCTGCGGGAGCGGAATCCATTGTGGGGGCAGCCCGCCTAGCCTTCGCGTCCCCTCGTCTTCTGTCGCACTCACGAGGACACCACGTGTGCCCCCCGCGAGACGGCAAGAGCACAGACAGAGACCCAAGAGGAGAAGACGGTAATAACAAACCCAGCACCGTGCCAAGAACGGGCCCCACACAAAAACAACAAAAACATGGCATCAACACCAATGCCGTCATTTATACCATCCACATAAAAAAAAAAGAGGGAGTCACACAGAATAGCATCAGCCCAGTGAACAAAAAAATAAAAAAATCAACGATAACAATACGTCGTTTCTGTTTTGTCTTTGCGTTCATTCTGGCATCTCGCACTTTTTTTTTTCTTTTGTTCTCCTGTGGATGCTTGTTTAAGTTACCTTTCCTTTCTGCTTCTTTCTCTCTCTCTCTTTCTTTTTGTATGTGTGTGCACGTGCGCGTCTCCAATTTATGTAGGCTATGTGACTTTACTTTTGGGGGCGGAGGGCTGTGGCGGCCTTTTCCTTATCTTCCTTGAGCGTCAGCACCCTGTTCATGACGAGGTGACCGGGACGTGTGTCTGGGTCCACGACGAAATACCCAAAGCGTTCAGCCTGCACAGACTCAAACACCTTCGCACTTTGTACTGCCGGTTCAGCATAGCCCTGCTGCACCTGCTCGCTGTCGGCATTGATGTACTTGAGAAACTCCGGGTCAATGGCGGCACGATCGTCCTTCAAAAGATATCCGTAGAGTCGGTATTCCACCGGCACCGCGTACTTCTCACTGACCCAAGTGATGTTTGTCTTTGGCTTCATTGCGCGTTCAAAGTCCACCTCGACGTGAATGAGGGAGGGTCGCCCCGTCTCATCACACTCGTAGCTGCGGCAAAAAATATTCCCAGAGTACTTCAGCCCCACAGGACGTGATCCGGGCGCAAGGCCGTAGAACTTACTGTTATTATCCTCCGTACGGAAGTCACTGCGGTCGATGTAAAATGTTTTGGTGAACTTTACCTTTCGCGACTTTAGCTCGGGTTTGCGCGGGTGGTTGGGGCATTCCACCTCCATTTCGCCGTCCCAGTTGTCAATGACGACCTTAACAGGGTCCATAATCATAAGACGACGCTCGGTGCGTTCGTCAAGGTCCTCGCGAAGAAGATGCTCCAGCATGGAAATCTGAATCACGTTCATCGAGCGTGTAATGCCGACATGATCGCAGAATCGGTTGATGGCCTCTGGTGTGTAGCCGCGTCGACGCATGCCAGCCAAAGTCAGCAGACGCGGGTCATCAAACCCACGGACGATGCCCTTCTTCACGAGAACATTGATTTTGCGCTTTGACAGCAGCGACCCGGTCACGTTAAGACGGCTAAACTCCCAAACAAACGGCCTCCAGAGATTCAATTGCTCCAGCAACCAAAAATAGCTTTCGCGTCGTGTCTCAAACTCCAACGTGCACAAACTGTAATCGATGTCTTCCAGACTGTCGACGAGGCAGTGGGTGTAGTCGTAGCTAGGGTAAACGCACCACTTGTCCTTGGCGTGTGGATGCTCAGAAAACTTGACACGGTAGGCAATAAAGTCACGCATGTTTGGGTTATCACTTTTCATGTCAATTTTCACCCGCAATGTCGCCTCACCTTCTGCGTACCGTCCTTGTCGCATGTACTCAAAATGGAGAAGATTCTCCTCAACAGGGCGATTACGCCATGGGCTCTCCTCGCGGCTTTCACGCTGCTTCTTAATTTCCTCCGCGGTTGAGTGATCAACGTAGGCCTTCCCGTCCTTAATAAGTTGAATTGCAAAATCGTAGAGCTGTTGAAAGTAGTCCGAGGAAAATGTGATCCAGTCCGGCTTCCACCCCATCCAGCGCGCCATTTCCTGAATGGCGTCGATATAAATTTGTTCCTCCGCCTCCGGGTTGGTGTCGTCGTAGCGCAGGTAGCACTTGCCATTGTGGGCCACGGCACAGCCAAAGTTCAGGTTCATGCTCTTCGCATGACCAATGTGGAGAAAGCCGTTGGGCTCTGGCGGGAAGCGGAAGTAGGGTTTCCCTCCCGTCACGGCATTGTGCTTTGCCAGAAGTTCTGGTGTGTTGGAGTACCCCGCCACCGGTCGACCCGTCTGCAGAAGGCGCAGATCCTTCTTGACCTCTAGCACAGGCTCAGAAGCGGCAACCCCAGCCGTGACCGAAGTTGGCATCTTCCTCCAGGGCAGCAATGTAAAACGACGAAACGTGCTGAAGATGCCCTGCTATTACGCACTACTGGACGCTGTGTAATTAGGTGACTGACTCGGACGAGAGAAGCAAGAGAAAACGGAAGAAAGCTGCGTTAAAGGAAGTAGGGAATACCCGTACAAACTCCTCACCACCACCACCGCCACGCACACACAACCCCCGCCAGTGTGCGCGGAGGGCCGTGCTTGCCACAGCACGAAAAGTCAAATATTTCTGTTGGAGCAGTCCATTAAGCACGTCTAGTTCTTTCGCTCCGCCGCACGTCTCTCCCTTTATGCTGAGCCTCTCTTTTTTTTTTCTTTACAGAGCAGCCGTAGGTGACGTTCGACATCCCAACCCATGTGGAAGGAAGGGACTCATTGAAGCTTGAGCAAGCCACATAAAGAAAGAAAACAAATGCCGACAAAATCATTTAAAAAAAGACAAACACCCCGCACTATCCCCTCGAAACAAAACCAAAAACAACAACCGCACACACACGCACGTCGGATCCCTCTCCCTCCCTCCTGAACGCGAGGGACACGCAGTAAACGACAGTACGGCAGATGTGTGTGGAACTCCACAACGTTTATTTTGCACTGCACACTCAGAGACGCCACTCACACGCCCCTGATAGAGTGAGACAGAGAGAGTAGGACGATATTGATGACCCATGGCGTCCATAAATGCTGCGGCAAAGCCACCTTCCCCGTCGCCACCACCATCCGTAATCCCATCGTTGCCGTTGTGTTGATGTTGTTGTTCCTCCTCTGAAACTCTATGAAATTTTATGGACCAAAACAAAAGCAAAAAAAAAAAAGCTTTTTTCTTTTTCACCTTTGTAGCTCCTTCTTATGTCTGTACGCAATGTTTTCCACCGTTGTTTTCCCTCACCTTCGTTCACTGCCCACACCCGCGCCCTTCCCCATTATGCCCCCTTTTTTTTGTTTGCTTTTCGTAATACAACTTCCATTTCGCCGTTTAATCGCGGTGTGTATTTTTGTGTGCGTTGTGTTGACAGAACAAATGGTTGGCGTCTCACATCACGTCGTCCATCTTCGGAGCAAGAAAGTAGCGCAGGTAGCCTACATGGTCAATATTGAACTCCACCATGCACGGGCTGTCAGGGGCAAACTTCAGCGACACACGGTCACTCAGGGTGGAGCCCTTCGCAAAGACGTTCATGAAACGCAGCGCGAAGGTCAGCGTGACAGGCTCATCCGTCTGTACCTCAACACCAATGGCCGTGCCGCCGTTCTTCGCGCTTGATGTGTTGATGCGGCCGATAGGCACGTCATCGTCGTCTTCCTTCTTTACCTCTGGCGCCGTCTTTACAGCGCGCTCCGGCACCCCAGTGGCGCGTAAAAAAGCGTATCCCTCACCCAGATCGCCAGACGAGCTAAATTTCACACCCTCCTTCCGAATCTCGATCGTGACAGTTTCGCCAAAGACGTTCATGTCACGAACAATTTTAGCGAACTCCTGCGAACTGAGCGTCACCGTTGACCCGTACCCCATCTCGGGAATTCCCATCGCCTCCCCCTCAATATCCATCAGCTTCAGCTGGTACTCACACTTTCGCGACTTTTCCGAGTTTTCCGAGGTTAATACAACGACGTCAGAGTCGTCCTCGTGATGCAGCGTCAAGCTGTCTGAGCTCTCAACAATCTTCAGCACCTTGGAAAGAGAGGCGAGGTTGAGACCGAGAATGCTGTTCCGCTCACACTGGTACTTGCTGAAGCAGTCGTCGCGGAGGAGGAGATGCACAAGGGCGACGTGAGTTGTGTCCATTGCCTGAATAGAGAGACCACCGGGGTTGCAGTCAAAGTTCGCCTCATTGACTAGGCCGCTGATGCACTCAATCAGCCGTTTCCACAGACTGGCTTGTTGAACTTGAGCCTCCAGCATGATCGATGAATGGTCTTATTGTTGTTGCTATAGTGTGCTACTTTATAATCTCCTTTTTTTTTTTATTACTCCCTTCTCTATCTCTTTTTTCGGAGTTTAGCCGCCTGCCGTGTGTCGTGTTTGCTAAATGCAATGAAAACACAAAGGAGCAGAGAGCGATGGCAAACGCGAGAGTGAAATCAACAACATTGGTGCAGAAGGAGGTCACAGTGCTGAGACGGCAGCCACAAAAGAGAGGCCCGGAAAAAGAGAGACAAGATCAAGTATGGTATACACAATCCCATGCACAGTCTTGCAGCTTCCCCTACATAAATGAGGAGTAAAAAAATTGTATATATATATATGCCTTCTCCTGTGACAGTTTAACCACCACTAATTTTCTTCAGTAGAACAAATGAGCCCAGCGGCATCCTCGCGTACCAGTAAGGGGCACACATGCATGGCCGCATAGCCTTCCCAAAACACCTCGACGGCTTTGCAAGCCTCTTCGCCTAAAACCAGAGCAAATACGGCGTCGTACCCACCCGCTCCAGGACATCCCACCGCAAATACACCTGGAAGCGCATAAGTGGCATCAAGCAAGACGCTCAACGCAATCGGCTCAATCTCCACAGAAGCAGCCTGACCCATTTCACGCAAGTAGCGTCGAGTTGTAGAAGCATATGCCGCTGCCTCCATCCAAAGTCGCTCAGCATCGTTTTTAAAAGTATACTGAGCAAGCACGACATGCTTTAAAACATTCAAAGAGTCCATATGTTCCTCTACCTTTGTATTCGCCTGCAGAGCCAGCTTCTTCAGCGATTCCACGTATTTCTCATTATTCTCTCGGAGTCGTTCCCAAAGGCTATCCGGATCAGTAGCAACTAAGTTCCGCCATGCCATAACTTTGGACACCATTCCTGGTGTGCCTGAACCGCCTTGGTGAACATCCCCCAAGAGAAGCTTCAGCCCAAAGGGAAGCTGGAATGGAACGCGCTTCACCCATTCCTTCTCTAACCTAACACAGTCCACAAGAGCTGACACCACCACATTCACAGGAGGTTCTTTGCCACCCATTACATTCTCGATCAGCTGTGGCGGAAAACGGCGGTACGCAGAGGTTCCGTAGGTCGCTGTGTAAACATCAAACCCACTTCCAATTTTCCCCTGTGCCACACAGTGAGCCACCTGAGCAACACGGTGAAGAAGCTCCTTCTCCGCCGCGTCACTAGCTTCATAACTTTCACTCCAGCTGTTGTGAGTTGTCAGGGCACGGTAGAGGCATGCCACCAGGCTGGTCGTCATTGCAGCTGAGGAACCCAGCCCAGTCTTTGAGACACCACCAACAAGAGGCAGGTGTGGTGGCAGCGAACGCAAGTTCGCCACGGTTACCTCCTTTCCCTGTGACACCAAGTAGTTTCTTTGACTGTAAAAGTCGTTATCAGCGAGCAGCTCCAACGTCAATTCCTTAAAAACATCTCCACCATGTGCAAGCGCCGCAGCCACGGTGTACAGGAGACTGTAGCGTAAGAAAGGGGATGGAGGGCCCCCTGTCTGGACCGCAGAGACGGTGAGCTCGGGAGTGTTGTCGACCACGCACTCAAACTCAAACACCTTGCCAAACTGAGGCGAATGAATGCGCACACAACACTTTCCATTGGCCGCGGCACGCTGTGTCAGCAGTCGTGTTTCAAAGCGCGCCGTCGTGCCGACGGAAATTCCAATGTTGGGCGCCTCAACGATGAGGTAGCCGCCAAGGATGAGAACCTTTCCAGGCGAAGACGCCTTGATCATTGTCATTGCAATATCAGTGAACGACGAATGGCACCCGAATAGCCAATAAACACAAAAATTATTGCACTTCAAATGATGATGGGAGCAGCACAGTCCGAAACAACAACAACTGATCACAACGCAGGCAGAGTTGTTCACAAGTAAATGTATGATTAGAGATGTCTCTCAACAGCTCAGTACACATTGGTGTGGTTGCGTCGTGCAACGAGCGCAGGATGTGTGTGTGCGTGTGTGTGAAAAAAGGATGGGAGCAAACAAGACGATAAAAATAAAAGGGGAGACACTAAATGCAGCAGCCATCACTCCCACACCGCACATGTTTACCTGTGAAAACCCACCAATGAAGAAACGCAGAGATATAGATGCACATAAACATACGCACAGATCAAAATAAACAGTAACAACAACAAACAAAAAAAAAAAACAGACGTAATAACGGTTGAAATAATTCGCTAGCACACACCTAACACTACCGATACCGCCCAACCCCCAGCTCCCCCACCTCTGGTGGTGTGACACCGACGGCCATAAGCAGTTCCGGGTCTACTGTAACTTGGCGCTTCTTGCGCCGCTGCGCCGCCACTGTGCTGGGGTCCGAATCAGGGGGGGCCGAAATCTTTTCTCCCGCGTCTGTGACGGCCCCCGCTGCGACATTGGCCTGATGAAGCCGCCACAGATAGTACATACTAAACAGAGCGCAAGTTCCGCCACAGAAGAAGAGGACAACGAGGAACACGTAGCCTCCCCGGCCCACACAGCACCATTCGGCACAGTCCCTAATGCCTGCATCCATCAGCTTACACATGCCCTGCGCCAAACACGGATCACGAGCGCATTCGGCACGTAGTGAACGATATCCATCGCACTTGGAGACGCACTGAATTGCCATCAACGAAAAGCAGAAACACTATTGCTGTTTTTTTTTTGGTTTCTATTCTCTCCTTCGTTTGTAAATCCGCAACGAATACGAGGTGAAGACCTCGTCCAATGAAAGAAAAACAAGAAGAGAAAAAGCAGAGGCACATGCAGTCCGCCCCAAGCGACCAAAGCAACAGTGCTGCGCAAAAAAAAAAAAAGCACTAGCCCCCCCCCCCCACCACACACACACACAACACACACAAAGTAGAAACAACAGTGAAGAGTTACGTGTATAGAAAATAACATAATGGGGGATTTCTTTAAATCGTTTATCAGCAAAGCTCTTTTCACAAAGAAGCTCCATTCATGCCGCCCTGTCGATGGGCGTCCCCTTTCCTCCACCACTTTTTTTTTTGCTCTTTCAATTGTGGCTCTTCATTTCTCAGCTTAACGGTTTCCATTAACTCTCTTGGGGACGGAGCAGGCGCCTGCCGTCTCCTCACCGCCATTTACGGACAGCTCCGGCTCTTCACTCAACAGGTACAACCTCTTCCTCCTTCACTCCTCCCCTGCGAGGAAAGAAGGCACAAGAAGAAGGGGGCCGCCCTTACTTTTTATCCCCATCATTGCTTTCTTTCTTTCCCTTTTTACTTCCACTTTTCGCGTGTTGTCTTACTGTGCCTTTTTTTCGTTCCTTTTTTTTTTATCTTGTTTGCTATCCCCTTCTTCCACGCAAGCCCCTCCCCATGTACAGCTTACAAAAGACGCTCGATCTCTAGCTTGACTGCCTGAACCTTGGCGGAGATGGGGCTGTTCTCTGACTGCAGGATCGCCAAGGCCACCGCGTTGCGTGAGACCTGAGCCGCCCGGCCTAACGCCGTCTTGGAAGGAACAAAAACGTACGGCACGTTCTTGTCCTCACAGAGCAAAGGAAGGTGCAGAAGAATTTCGATGGGGTTCGTGTCACCCGCCAGCACAATCAGGTCCGCAATGCCTCGGTTAAGAGCCTTGGTGGCCTCATTGGCCCCTTTCTTGATCATCTTCGCGTTGCTGGCCTCTTGCACTAGGTCCAGGATAGTCTGCGTCAAGCGGTCCCCGGCAAGAGGAAATGCCTTCTCACTGATCTCAGCCGTCATTCGCAAATTATCTTGTAGACTATTCCACAACAAGTCAAACACGTTCAGTGGAGTCCGTCATTAACGCACAGTCAAGGAAAGAAAGAAAAAAAAAAAATGAGATACGGTTAAGCACAGAAAAAAAAAAATGTCTCTCAAGCCCGGCATCGCTTCCACCGACACGCAATACGTGAATGCACACACAGCCACACAACCTTGAAGTACTTCATACAAAACAACTACTTACATGATCCTCCCATACCGTCATCACCAAAACAACGCTACAAAAACGAACACAGGGCAGACGACGCTGCACCACATCAAAAGAAAAAAAAATGTGTACAACCCACAATAAGAAAGTGGCACAAACACCTCATCAGCCTATAATCAACTTCACAAAAAAAAAAAGAAGAAACTTTCTTCCTCGATAGCTTCCACATACAAATCATTTTAAATCACAGGAGGAAATCTTAGCATCAAGTGTCAGTTCCCACTGTGCACGGTTACTGTTTATACGGTCGACAGTCCATTGCATGCCAGTGAGGCAGGCATCCACAACCTTCTTGAAAAACGGCTTGGCGACAAAGTCAATGAAGCCAATCTGGCCCTTGGCCAACTCCGTGTTCTTGGAACGATCAAACATGGGCAGCACCTCCACACCCTTCTCCTTCTCCATGTCACCCTGACGGTAGAACTCCTCTGTCACCGACATAGCCCACAAGCGAGAAATGTCAAACGGCTTCGTTACATTCGAAATATCACCCGCCTTCACTATTACGTCCATGATCATCTGCCTGGCGGTGGTATCTTCAATTGAATACGGTTTTTCCATAGATACAAGAAACAAATTTAACAGCTCATTATGCTTGGCCATATCCGTGGCAAGCACGCAGTCAATCATAGCACGATACGCCAGGGTGCGATCGGCACCATCAAGGCCCTCAAATACATCGGAGTCCGGATCGGAGAGAATTTCGACGGCAAGATTACAGTGGTGCACCTCCAGCACCGAGGTGTTGCCGCTCGCACTCGACAGAATACCTAGC